TTTTTTTTTTTTTAAACTTCGAATGATGTTAAATTAAATAATTATTTAATTTTGTTATTCTCACTAATAAAAAAGTGCAAATATTATCTGTACTACCATCAAGTTGGTCAACAGAAAAGATTGTAAATATTTTTGGCGCATCAACATACATGATAACAAAGGTGAAAAAATTAACTATTCCGGTAAAAAATTAGCTATTTAACCGGTTTAGCAGTTGGCTAATTAGCTGAGTTAAGCTAGGTTAACCGGTTAAGCTGTTGGATAATTAGCTAAGCTAATTCGGCTAATCGGTTAAATTAACTAAGTTGGCCAGCTAACTGGCTAATTAATTTAACTAACTTTTTTAGCCGGCCTAACCGGCCAAATTGTACAGCCCTAATAATAAACCATCATTTAAATGTTAACAATATAAAAATAAAACAATTATAAATATAAAAATTTTTTACAATCTTAGAATATCCAAATTCTTAAATACATCACAATCATTTATAAAATTAATTTACAATAAATAAATAAAATTTCTATAAAAAAATTAAATAAAGTACCTTTGAATAGTTCTATATAGACATCAAAGTCCAAATAAAATTTTTTGGGACCTCAAAATGTGATCGTTCAATAAAAACTAGATTTAAAAAAATATTTTATGAATATTATAATTATTAATAATTACAACTTTATATTTTTGATTATTTTAATAAAAAAAGAATACATATGAATTTAGCAAAATATCGAGCTTTTGTTTCTGAGAGATGTATCGCTTGAAAGTTTTACGATATAAAGAAGTTCCATTGTGATCGATTGTTTCCTGAGAAATTTAAAAAAAAAAGGATTTTTCAAATTGATTTGTTTTCATATTGTAGAGTTTTATACTGAAAGTTTTTAAAAACAAAGATTTCTCCTGAGGGATTATAAAATTTAGAGAAATTCTTTGTTGAAATATTCTCTACCCTTTTTATATTTTTAAATATTAAAAACGTTAATTTATTTAGTGAATTTAATTATTATCATGTATTCCAGCTATATGGTTATAAAAAGTATCAGAAAAAAAAATTGCTATTTTTGCTTTTTATTTTAAATAAATATTTGTTAACAGTTAACAAATATTCATTAACCGTTTGGCTGCCCAATTTCAAAACACAGTAACTAACATTTAAAAATTTTTTTCAATTTTTCTTATTAAAAAAAAGTTTGCCCGCTAAATTAATGACAAATTTGATTTATGAATAGAAAATACGCAAATATAAATATTTTTAAGAAAAAATACTTGAAATTAAGGTTTAAAAGTTATAAAAAATGCAGCAATACTAAAAAAAATCAGGTATAAAAATTTTGCAGTTACTGTGTTTTAAAATTGGGCAGCCGCGTTAATCAATTGTACTTAATAAATTACTTATTAACTGTTAATAAATATTTATTAAAATTTAATAAATAATTTATTAACTGTTAAAATTGATTAAAGAGGCGTGTACTTTTGGATTTTCCAAACTTTTTAATACTTTGTTTAGTTGAGGATAAAGTGGGATTTTAGGTTAGCGTAGCTTATTTCTGCTGACCGCTATTGAAACAAACGTTCTGTTTGAATCATCCACAGTCATATTAGATTAAAATTCATAATTATTCTCATACTAGCTCATTAATTGATTGTAATTCCAATTTATTTAATTCAATATTCTCCGTAGCGGTTTCGGTGCCACCGATAGAACTCTGTAGAAACTCGTCCGAAACTCAGCGTAACGACGGAGTATAGTCGGCGTATATGGAGAGTAAACTCGGAGTATTGTGTGCAGTTGTGATCCATGAAGACGATAGGGGTTAATTGGTGTTTAATTGAGATCGTTACGGGGTTTGGTTGGAATTTTGCTGGTGTTCTCATGAAGTTTTCCCCGAGTTTTATCAGTGTTTTTTCGGATTTTCTGTCGAGTTTAGTCGGCGTCTTCACCGAGTTTTTTTTGGAGCTTTCCAAGAGTATTTTGCGAGTTTCATCGGAGTTTTCTGATGGATAATGAATGAAAAACCGAAAAAAATAATTCGCACAAACCGGGACTCGAACCCGGACCGTATTTCATTACAAGTCAAAGACTCAACCGGTCAAGCTATCTGAGACATTGTCCGTACTTACTATTCAGTCACCTAATAAGACCCGCAGTAAATAAACAACACTGTCTATCTTACGGAAACCGATTAAAGTTTTGAATCACTTTATGTATTGATAAAATTTTAATTTAAGTTATGATAATATTGTTTCAGTGGATCAACTGTAAACTTTTGACAATTTTTTTATGATGTCACTTTTTTGATGTATCATATATTTTACTTATAAACTTCATAATATATTCTATGTAGATGAATATATATTTAAACTTGTAAATAAATAAATTAATTAATAAAAACTACACCGTAATTGAAAAATGATTTATTTATAGTCATCTTTGCACAGAAAAAAAAGTCATCTTGACTCAAGAAAATCTTTTTCTTCAAAATTTACTTCTTGTTTCAAGTTCTTGTTTATTCTTGAACTAATAATGTCATATACTTATCCCAAGTAAATCTTTCTCTTGGTTTGGAAAGTAGCGCCAACGTTGGCGACGTGATTTTTTGGAACTAAACCGAGATTTTTTTAATAAAAAATTAAATTTAAAAAAATAACCTTATGCATGATTTTTATTGTTTGTGTTCATTTAATTAGACATTTTTAATTAATTTTTAACTTGCTGATTTCTCATTATATTACTGATTTACAATTAAGTGTGTAGTGACGAAAATATTTTTATAAGTATTCGCTCGACTCATACAAAGTACACGGTTAGAAATTTGTTGCGTTAATAACTCAATAACTATAAGTGATATCGACAATCAGAAAAAAGATCCTTAAAGAGGAGGAAATTTATGAAAAAAAGTCTCGACTCCCGGAACTCTAGCTCCATAAACAATAATTTTTATTTGATGTTGAATATGGGTTTCCGCGCGGCTGCTGTCCTACTCGGGCCTCGATGCGCCCGTGTGTACTTCAAGCAAGTTCAAAAACCAAGAGAATGATTTAGTTGGATTAAGAGGTTTTTTTCTTCACTCAAGTTGGTAAGCATGTTGGAACTAGGGAATATTTGCTTAAACCAAGATTGACCAAAACAAGAAAAAAATTTACTTAACTCAAGAATATATTTTATCTTCAGTTGAATATACTTGGATCAAGTAAATATTACTTGACTCAAGATGACTTTTTTTTCTGTGTGTGAAATCAAATTTAATTTTTATGCCATGAAGTATTATTAATCGCGAGTAAACTCCATAAGAACACTACCAAAACTCCGAAAAAACACCAGCGAAACTCTTATAAAGCTCCGCAAAACATCGAAAAAAACTCGACAAAAACTCCCTAGCTACTCTGAAAATACTCAACAAAAACTCGACGAAAACGCCAAAAAAACTCGACTGCAACTCCGAAAATATCCAACAAAAATGCGAGGTAAACTCCATAGCGACTCCGAAAAAACTCGTCGAAAACTTCTCGAAAACTCTAATAATACACTTTTGTGACTCCGTGTCGTAACTGCACACGATACTCCTTGCATACACCTCTAAAACTCCGCGTAAACTCCGCTTATACCCCGATTAGACTCCGAGAGGGCGTATACTCCATCGTAACTCCGCGTAAACTCCGAGTTTACGCTGAGTCGTTGAAACCGCTAGGGGCTGGAATTAAACAGTCGATTGGTATGCAATATGAAATCAAAATGATATGCTTATAACCTAAAATAGGTAAATAAACAAATGAGTTCTTTATTGTTTGGGACAAATATCTGATTTAAATGAACCGCATCGAGGAAATCCTGGCGGGGTTGGCGGTAAATCGGACTCTGAGCCGATATGAACAACCACCTGCATTCCAGTTATTGAATGCAATTCAAAGTGACAATGGAATGCCCAGTAACCTATTGTTGAAAAGTTATTAATAGTTTGTAGTTAGTTAATTATTTTATCATTAATGAATATTATAAATTGTTTGTAGACACTAGACCTGGATTATCTGCGCGAAACCGGAAAATTACCCAGCCACCCTGAGGCACCAGAACGGAATCTTTAGCGGAGGGTCTGTCGTAAGATTTATTGATCAGACGCTCGCGGTGTTTCGAAACCACTTTTTCAATGTCGTCCATCGTGAGAGCCGGCTGTTCCGGAAGACTTCCGATGTCCAGCACGTGGAAGTTTGTCCCGTGGAGGTGGAACGGGTGGCTTAAGATCGGCATTCGTGCTTAAATTAAGTAAGAAATTGATTAATGTGTTAATAAAATAAGGAAGTACTTTTTTCTTATAATGTTAAGTTAAAAGCCAAGGTTTACCTTGATCGTAGATAACAACTTCGACGATGGAATCCAGCGGAATGTTTTTGACGTGTGTACAAGAGCAAAGGCCTTAATTCGTTGGCGTTTGATTTGGATTTACAGTAGTCGGTATTCTCGCAAAAGTATTCCTGGCCCTCGGGCTCTGTTAGAGGAGGCGCGCTAGGTGATTTGAAAGTTATATTGTTTATTATATTTGCTACTGGAGTTTCTCCCGGTCCCACTGAAAATTAGTGTGTACAGTTTAAATTTTTGTTAGAAATTATTAAAGATTAATGAACATTTAATATTTGATAGTTAAAAAATTTTTACAACGATTAAATTACAGCAAAAAAAAGATAAGAAAAAAATTGACTTATAGAAATTTAAACAAATTAAAAAAATATTTTTTTTAAATTACACTTACAGTTTTTAAAGTTTTTTACAAATGATATTATTTTAAATTTTTTTGTAATAATTTTTTCAATAAAAAAAAAACATTCTAACAATTTTTATATGTCGGTTAACTTAATTTTCAAATTTCTTGGAACAAATTTGTTTGTTGAATAAAATTAAAAAATGGTCAAGTTAATGCTAAGTTTAATATCATAAAAAATTATTATTATTTATCTCAGTTGAAAAAAATGATTTTTTTTTTATCAATTTTTTTAATGGACACTTGTGTTGTCGTTTTCTCAAAACTGAGTTTAAAGTCGGTGGGCACAATTTATCATACAACCGGTCAATTTCTGATTTTTTACATAATTTTTTAAGAAACTGACTCAATAATTGACAATTTTGATAAATATTTTCCATATTTATGTACAATTTAAGGCTACAAATTTTCCTTGACAATATCGATGATTTTTTAATGAAGCTACAATTTTTTCAAAAATAGTTAAAGAATTTTCTTTAAAATCTTAAAGAATTTTTCTGTTTGATTGAAAAAAATCAAATTTTTCAAAATAGTGTTTTTGGTCCAAGATATTTTCTCTTGAATTCCATATAACAATCTGTTACAAGGCTTGGGCAAAACTGCTCCAAAGTTCGATAGTTTTTAGCTTAAAATTCTACTTTTGAAGTTTGTTGCAGATACTTGTCACAGATTTAAATTGTAAGTATCTGCTGCCCGCCCAAGTAAAAAAATTATGTATAATTGTATAAAATTATATACAATACAATTATATATGAAAAATAGCCCTATATAAATATATATAATTCTCTTTAATTATCTATAGTTCCACATAATTATAAGCAATTATACAACAATGACCAAAACATTATTTAGAATTATATATGGTTACATATAATTTTATAGAAGTATTTAAACACAAGGAAAACATTGTATGAAATTATATAGAATTATACAAAACTAGTATACGTTGCGCGCGCAAGCGCGCGTGTAAAAGTTGGTATGAAATTATCTATATTTTCATGCTTATGATATATTCGACCAATCACGTTACGAATAGTTTGCTTACATGATATATTTTCATATTTTTCATCTAAACTAGAATTTGAATTTACGCGCGCAAGCGCGCGCTTTGACTATAGAGTTTGCATATATTTTCATGCTTATGATATATTCGACCAATCACGTTACGAATAGTTTGATGCCACATACATTTCATCTCAATTTTATATTAGGACTAGAATTTAATTTTCGCGCGCAAGCGCGCGCCTAACTATAGAGTTTGCATATATTTTCATGCTTATGATATATTCAACCAATCACGTTACGAATAGTTTGATGCCACATATATTTCATCTCAATTTTATATTAGGATTATAAAAGTAGATGACCAAAAACATTCCATAGAAGTAGTATATAATTTTATATAATGATACAAAAATCACCAAAACTAATGTATAGAATGATGTATCATTATAAATAATTATATGTGAATCATAAATAATTATACATAATTTTTTTTATCCGGGTGTAAGTTTCTGGTGAAAGAAATGCGTCAAAAACCAACAAAGAGTTATACCATGAGCAAATTATACTCAATTTTTGAGTCAGTTTCTTGCGACACGATCTTGTGCAAGGTACATCCCTAAATAGAGACACTAGAAACTAAGGGTTTTGCATAAGGCTCTGCAACAGAAATCTTGTTCAAACACGTATTCCTTCATCAATCAAGTTAATTTTTTATCATATAAATTTTTATATTAAGCAATTGTAAAATTTCTCGAAATGAAAAAAAAAAAAAAAACGCTTTTTTCAATTCCATAAGTGCGAATAACTCCTTAATTTTTACTTACTAAAAAATCCCGGATAATCTTGAGGATCAGAGTGGAACAAAACATCGAGAGTTGAGGTATTAACTTAGTAATTATGAAATCCAAAAGCCAAGAACATTTGAACATCTGGATCGACCTTGAGGATATCTTCGTCAAATGTATCTGCAGCTTTCAAATTACTTGAGCAAACAGTTCCCTTTTGTGGATCGCACGACGCGTTCAGGGGATTATAGAGCTGAAATAATGAACAATAACAATAATCAACAATAGATAGTTAATTAAATAGAGTAACAACTAAATAAGAGAGTACAATTCCTCGTGGAAGTCCTTCGTCGTACGTCGGAGGATCGCTGAAGTTTGACTCAGAATCTTGATAGCTTTGATACTGGAGCTTTGCCAGTTGGTTAACTTTTTTTTCTTTACAGATTCCAAGACCGCGTACTTGTATCCAGTATTTCTTAGCAGTGTTGTTTGTGTTTATAACAAAATCAACACGCTCGCCGGAGCCAATTACGATTGTGTCAACATAAACGGGCTCCATGTTAGCCGCATCTTGGGCGATCAATAGTAGCTGATGATCTTCAATGTTGAATTGCGCGAGACATATTGTTGTGAAGGAGTTTATCAATCGGAACCGGTGTCTGGTATTAGGTTGGACGTAAAATGTTTCCAGTTCTACGTTGGTCTTGTTTTCGTTTTCATACTGGAAGATAATTAAAAAATTAATTGAATCCACTTGTTTCATATCATATTGATATACCAGCGACTAATTAAATGAACTTACCGTGTAAGTTCCTCGACCGTTGATCAGGATATTATCAGCAGCTTCACTGTTCCAGCGCTTACGTAGCCCAGGAAATCGCTCGGTAGCCAGCTCATGCATCCAGTCGCTGATGAGGATCACGTGTTCTGGATCATCAACGTCGTAGTACTGCGAATTGGGATCGTCTTCTCTTGGCTCGCGAATTATCAGCGGCCCGTATTGCCCGTCCAGCCGATGGACCGAGACATGGGAGTGGTAAAAAAAAGTCCCCGATTCGGCGGCTAGAAACTGGTACCGAAATCTGTCGAAAGCTTCTATAGGACACTGAGTAACGTAAGGCACTCCGTCATAGTGCTGATAATTACGCTGAAACAATCCGTGCCAATACATCGTCGCTCCGACTCCTTCAGCCATATTTTCAACGTCCACCACAATGTAATCATTTTTGCAAACCTGCAACAGATATTTAATAAATAAATTTAAAACAATAATTTGCTTCCGGATTGCGCTTTTTATTTGCCGATATTGTTCACTGGGTATTAATTTTTGGAGTATATATTTACCTGAATGTGGGGGCCGGGTATCATGCGATTCACTGAAAACACAGTTCGTTCAACTCCATCAACGAGAATACACTCGCAGTCCGCTTTGTTTTTCAATCCTTGTGTCGTCGTCGAATTGCACATTTCGCAAGCGCTTAAATTTATATTACGTAGATAATTATTTATAATAAAATCCAATTTTAAGTTTGTATTGACATTATTAATTTTGTTCTCATTATTATTACCATTATTGTTATTTAATTTTTATTACAGATAAATTTAATTAACTCATTCCAATTGACAATAGCTAACCTAACACAATGCCGCGCATCGTATACACATATAGTCTTCATAAAGTTAATCCAACCCCTAAAACTTTGTTTTCAATAGTTATTTGCATAACTTTAATTGTTTTCAAGTTAAAACCGCTTGAATAATCATATAATCATTTTAACATCTAATTATTCTTAAACTTTATAACGGATCTAAACCCTAAATATTGATTTTACCAACTTTTTACGGATTTAACGACGCTAACCTTTAAATAGTATCTTTAAAACAATCCAAGATATCGTGATACAAAAATTCTAATTGTTTTGACCTACTTGCTTCTTTATCTACTGAAATTTGTTATAATACTGAAATTCAAGAAATTTATTTGATACTTTTCAGGATTTTTTTAACAAATAAATTATAGGAAGAAATATTTAATCAAAAATTTTACTTTTAGAAGTTGTAAAAAATTATAAATGAAATTTTTTAAAAATAAGTATTTAATTTGTCAAATAAAATAAAAAATGGTCAAGTGTCTGTTAAGTTCAGTGTTATAAATTCGTTTTATTGTTACTGATAATTACTCTTTCATTCAAACAATATTTATTCGGTAATATCGTCGAAACATTAATTTAACTTTATTCATTTAGCAAAATAAATTATTAAACAAATTTTACGTTCGTAAACAGATTGAAGCTATAAAACAAGTTTAATGGTTTGTTAACATCAAATTCCTCATTAAAAATAAAATAATTATTTCAAAACTTTACTCTAATTTCAAGGATGCGCAAATTATTTTTAATTGTACACACAAAGTAATTTTAAGTTGCAATTAAACTGTTTCTTTAGAATACACTGAGAGAAAAATTTTTTTGATTTAAGAAAAAACAGTTTTAGATAGACAACTTGCTATTTTTATCCAAAAATGTTTTTCTCAAATCAAAAAAATTTTTTTTTGGTAATTATCAACAAGTAAAATCAACTCATGCTAAGCCTTGTTAAATTTTTTTTTTTTTTTCATCAAATTGTTCGTTTTTTATGTACTTTTCAAAAAAAATATATCAAAAACATTGAAAAAATATAAAATAGAAATTTTATCCAAAAACATAAAAGCTAAAATTTTTTCCAACTTTTAAAGGCAAAAAAGCTATCGGAATCTTTATTTTTTTCTTTTATGACATTTTTTTATCATAAATGCGCCGTAAAAATAAGCAGAATACAAAAAAAGTTCTATTCGGCCACACCCGACATGAATAGATAGATTTCTTGTTTGAAAATTGAAAAAAATACTATTTAAAAAATAGAAATTGTAATAGATGAAAGTTATTTGACGATAAAGCTAAAAATTATTTTTTTTTAATTTTCCCAACTACGAAATAAATTGAAAAAATTATCAAAAGGCGACGAATAACAACTCAAATTGAAGATAATTATGTGAATTTTAAAAAAAATTTGATTGATTTGAGCTATCTTTTACAATTTAAAAATTATTTGAAGAAAAAGGGCCGAAATACGTTTATTGAAAAATTTTTGAAAATTTTCAAACACCCACAACTCGTAAACTAACCGGCCGATTTTGCTCATCTTTGAACTTGATCTTGGTATTGATACACAGAATGAGCCCACAAAATTTCATAAAAATCGGTTGAGAACTGTGGGCGCAATCCTGCTGACATGGCGCGTTGTTTACATATATAAGCTTGTGAGCCAATGCCATTTTTCGACATTGCTCGATGAAATGAAACATATTATGATAAAATTTCCTTAAAATTACGACATGAGACCGGCTACAATAGATTTTTCTAAAGAAATCTACCTAAAAATTTGAAAATGTTAATTTTTCACCTAGTTATGGCCCGAAATGTGTTTGACCCAACTTGTAAATAATTACCTTTTTTTTCAACCAGAAAGTTACTATGAGAAAAATTTTTATTTCTTCAGCTAAGAAATAAAATTATTTAAAATTTTCAAAAAATTAATTTCTTGTTACTATGTCCATCCTTTTAAAAAAAATTTTTTTTTTCAATGTGTTGCCCTACTCCGATAAAAAATTTGAATAATTTTATTCTTTTGATGCTAACAAAAATAATTTTGAATTAAAAAATATTAGTAATAATTTTCACGCTTGACTCAAAAAATAAAAGTTTTACAAAATTTGGTCAATTTAAAAACATTTTTTCTTGAATAAATTTTTCAATCATAAAATTACCTGCTGAGCGCCGGGAAAAATTCCAGCGCAAAAAAGTAGTAGCAAATTTTCGGCGTTTCATCTTTGCTACAATCTCTCGTACATTCTTCAGGAGTGCTTAATTTAATTCCACCCTCAGCGCACTGATTAGCGGCCAAAACCGGTAGGAAAATCACCGTCAAAAATTTAACGAACATTACTCTTAACAAATTCTTCGCAAACTGAGAAAAAACATTGAAACTGTAACAGGAAAAAAATTACTTTTATTTAAAATAATCAATAATAATTAATGTCAATTCTTATCCGAATAACAGTATCCACTCACATTGGTTAAAAGTAAAAGCAATTAAATATCAGACGTCATAACCAATTAATTTTTTTTTCCTTAAAGTAATTTTAACTTTTGGTAAAGTGACATGATAGTAACAATGCTAGCAATTACAAACTTACAACAATGAACCGTGAGATATTGTTAAATAAAAAGATTATCGGACAGTTTATTTAGCAATAATGGCCGACTAAGAGTAACGATGTATCCAAGAAGCTGACATTGATGAAACGTTTAAGAAAATAAAAACACGCGTCCGGTGTGTTTTTACTCCCGGAACAAAAAGCAGCCTCATACGTGTAATACAGCAGAACAAGCATCTAGAAATAATAAAAAAAAAAAAAAAAAAACCAAACATCAGCATGACTGTTTACGAGACGGATAAAAACGCCTTGATCATCGGCTACGTGTAACCATCCAGCCGCTATTACTTACCCGCTTTTCATCACCGTAAATGTGTAAAAAGGCTCCCATTGTCCAGATCCATTTGCATTGGGTTTTTTGCACTTGGTTCTAACGACACAGTCGGATACTGCTAGTGGGACTCCCGCTCGAACAGGGCTTTCAGGTGCTCGAGAATATAAAAAACGTCGAAGCTCTTGACGTCTATAGAACCCAGTTTCCGTCATTCATAGTTCATAGTCGCTATGACTGTCCGCTAGTCATCCAGTCGGAGATTTTTATCAAATGAAAAATGAAAAATATTAAAAAAGTTGTCATTTACATGGAAAATCCCTTTTCACTATCATCCAAAAGGATTCTCTTTTATTTTTTTTTTACTCCGGCTAATAAATAATACGCGTTTTAATTAAATCGGGGGATAAATTCCGCGGGTTCTTAGCCTCCAGATTCTCTCGTTAATTATTGTTTGAGGGTAATGAACTTTGGTAAGGGTTGCTTTATAAGCTTAAGCAAATTTATTCCCCGGGTATAAGATTGTTTTGAATTTTTGGGCTAGAAATTTGTCAAGAGATTAAGATCATCTGGAATTATTTTTTTGTTAATTAATAAAGATTAAGATCTTTTGGAATAAATTATCTTATAATATATTAAGCTTGTGATATAAATTTTTAATTCACAATTAAATTATTACGCAGTAAGAATTATATTTAATACAAGATTGGTGATAAAAAAACAAGTTAAAACATTTCGTGCAAAGAAAAACTACTCGGCGCCATTAATTATCACAGAATTATAAATGACCTGCGTGAGTTAACCTCACTAAATATATAACAACAAAATCTTTATTTATTTGACTGCTTTTTTCTCACCTTTGTTGGACTTTTTACCCGCTTTTATTAGCTTCGCATTTATTTATGTATATTACAGAAGCTTTTAATTAGATTTTTGACGGTATTATAATTTAATAAGTTTGTCCTATTATCCTGATTAGGATTTGCGATTTTTTACATTTGGAGACACGGTAGTGCCTTGCGCCAAGTACTTAGGCGGGTACTAAAACATTTATAGCTTAATCTTTGAGACTAGCATGTGACTAAGGTTAAGATTAACTAGCGAGTTTTGTACATTTTACACAGAAAAAATCTTGACTCTAGAACAATATTTTTGACTTAAAAACTTTTATAGGAAGAATACAAAAATCTTCCAGATTGATTAAAATATTTGTTTACTTAACTGCAACTGTGGAAAAATTTCTTTGAAATAACTGTGAAAAAATTTTAATAAGTACGAATAATAGTTCATAAAGTTTTTTATTTTCTTAAAGAGTCTGAAAAAGTCATATTAAGTCGAAAAAACTTTTCTTAGAAAGTCAGATTTTTTGCAAGATTTGGGACTCTGCCACACGGAAAAAAAATCCTATGAAAAATTACTACAGTAACATCGTAATCCAGGACTAGACTTACAGTATGTTGATTTTTACAATGCTGCCGTCTACAGAATACAATTTGAATTATTGAAAATTACTATGTTATTTAGTAAATTTTTTTTCCGTAAGAGCAAGTGAATAAGGACGCATACTATATGTTTTAATAAAAGAGAGACAGAGTCTAGTAGTTTGCGACGCCACCACCGAAAGATGACCAACTACTGTATGGAGGGTCTTATTATCTGACTGAATAGTAAAGTTAGGTATTCCTTACGATAGCGTAAGGGGATAAACCTTGGGCTTGTGTCGGAGAGGGCACCGGGTTCGATTCCTCGGTGAAACAAAATTATTTTTTCGATGACCTACACTTCTTTTTAATTTGAGTGATAGAAATTTACGATGTTGCATCGCATAAATTATATTGTTTGAGTTCTGGTCCGGCACTACAATGTTTCTCTCCGTGCAGAAGAATTATTTAGAGATATTAAAACTTCTTTTTTTTTTTTAAATTTTTATTTCAAGTCGCTTTTTAACAACAGGGTTCTAAGCGACTACAATATACAAAATTTTAATAATATAAGTCAAAGGTACATTAAAGACCACAGATGTTTACAATATTTATACTACACTGAGAAAAAAAAGTACTACTCTTGAGAAAATTTTCTTGTCACAAGAATGATAATTTTCAAGAATATATTTTCTTGTCTCAAGAATTGATCAAATTATTTTTTGTTTAATTCAAGTGAACCTATTCGTTTGTTAATCTATCAAAATTAATGCCAATATTTTATTATCATGATAGATATTGATATTCTTTTGTCAAAAAACCAAAATTTTTTTTAAACGATTTTTGAGCCAAGGAATTTTTTTCTGGACAAAAATTTATTTTTTTCTCAGTGTATACGTTTACATTAAATATATTGGATTGCATTTATAGTTTTTATGAATCTAAGAGTTTTTAAGCAATTATCCGTTGTTTTTAGGATACTGAAGATGGATTTTGTGATGTTGAACTGGTCTCTTGTTATCGTGAGGTGTCTGCATTCCTCGAGGATGTGGAGCACAGTCAGGTTATATCCACATAATGGACATTTTTTTTTACACGCTTTTTATTAGCTTCACCTGTATGTATGTTTGTATGTTTGTAACCGACTTCTTTGGGCGCGATTTTGACCCACTTTAAACGGCCAGATTTCGTTCAAACTTTGTAGATTTATCGAAGACCGATGACAATACACTAATTTGATAAAATTATTCCATTTTTCAATTTGCAAAATATAATTTTTGTTAATTTATATAATTTTCATCTACATGATAGTCGATAAGGTAAAAAACTTAATTTTAATTTTTTATAATTTTTCTCTACAGTCGATAAGACAGGACTTGATGTTAATTTTAATTTCCAATAATTATCTTTAGCCGATTTCTCTAGTATTGACAAATTTTCGAATACTAAGGAGAATTTTAATTTTATACAAAACAAATAATAGTTTAAAAAAACTAAAAACACACTTTTTATAGAAAACTGAACTAAAAAATAGAAAATAAATTTAAATTAAGAATATATAGTGTTAAAAATTTCAATAAATATAAATTAATAATAGTGTGAATAAAAAAAAAATGATTTTATTTTAAAAAAAGCGTGGAGTGCATGGTGATGTCAATAGTTATAAATATTTTATTGACAGATATGAAGCAAATATATATTATTTATTTATTTATTACTTACTACTATTATTATTTATTATATTATTATATATATTTTTAACACTATTCTTAATTTAAATTTATTAAAATTTATTTTCTATTTTTTAGTTTGGTTTTCTATAAAAAGCGTGTTTTTAGTTTTTTTAAACTATTATTTATTTACAATAAAAGAAATTTTTTTGTTAATCACTCTTTTCTTATATTTAAAATTCATTGAAAATTATTTTTTACTCTTTAATTAAGTTTTCTATCCAACCTAATTTTTTACTTTTTTAAACTATTATTTATCATTTGATAGTGGTATTTTTTCTCAAGTAGTAAAAAAATAATAATGTACCGCGTAATAACCTACAACTTGCAATGGAAAGCAATTACTTAGATTGTCGGGCTGCATAGACTGTATAAAAGACATCTAGCAGAAAAGAGCCATCACCGCTTGGGATGGCATACACCAGCTTTTGTGGCGAAGCGTCATCTGATCTCGAAGTCTTCATTGTACTCGGTACAATAATAAGACTTGTCACTCTGTTACAAAAATTTCCTCGTACAATATAACAGAACGTCAATTTGGGAGTTACAAGCTGCATTATAAATTATAAATAAAAATAATTATAATTTTTAATAACATGAAAATGAATTTCAAAATTTGAAATTAATATTTTTGTTCGCCGCGGAGAATCTTCTTAAAAAAACCTTTCTAGAAGTAATTACCTGGAAGCATACAAAGGTAAGGTTTTATCGGGAACAATAGCTATTGCCTGGGAAATATTTGAGCCAGAAGTTATTAAAGCTGAAACAACAGTAATTGTCAGTCTGGTATATTCTATTTAAAAGATAACGCCTGACATCTTAACGCTTGCGTCCTTTTAACCCCCTAAGGACTCTATCAACTAGACTGTAGTTTAATAATAACCAGTGTCTTATCTTAATAACACTCATTGTCATTGCTCTGACCCTTGACCTCAAAAAATGTAATAACCTTAACTATCGTCTACCAAGGAGTCGGTTTAATAATTCTCTTCAACTACACTTCTACTCACCTATCAGTTTTATTAATTATTTAATTAACCTTCTAGAATAGCTTTCATTGCTGGAATATTATAATTAAATACAAATACTAATCTTAATTCCTGAGTAAAGAAGATTATGCTATATATGTAATTATAATTATAATTTCACTAAGATTAGGAATACTAAACTTTATAAAAAATTAAATTTTTATTTAAATTCTGAAAATTTTTTAAATTTTATGTAAAAAAATATAAGAAATAATTTTTTTCTCAATCAATAATAAAAATTATTTTTTTTTTTTTATTTTATTATATTATTATTTTTATTCTTCTTCATTAAAATAATGTTAAAAAAAAATTTAATTCAAATAATGGCATTTTTTTCGAGTTTTTGTTTTTACGGTTTACGGAAATTTTTTTTACTGTTTTTTAATACATTAAATCAGTCTTTAAAGGTAATAGAATTATTTCTTATTAAATTCTCTATCCTTAATTAAGTTTTGTGGGCTAACAAGAGTGTATTAGTAAAAGTAGTTGTAAAAAAAAAGGCAAAAAAAATTTTCAATTGTAAATTACTTTCTGAAATATTATATACCTTTGTATACTTATATATTTAGTGTTAGTGTGAATATAAATAGCTAATTTAAACAATTGTAAGATTTTATAGTTATTAGCTACTAAGATAGAGAGAAAGACAATAGAAGAAAAAGCAGAAGTAGAAGAAGAAGAAGAAGAAGAAGAAGAAGAAGAAGTGAAGAAAGAAAGAAAATTTGTGGGGGTGAGGTATTTTGTTTTGGCAATGACACACATTCATCGGCTACGTTGACCTTATTAACCATAAGGATTCAAAAGTATTAAAAAGGATTTGTACGGAAAAAAAAAGAAGAAAAAAAATTATATTATATAATTTAACGTGGCGCTTCATATAAAAAACTGGAAAAATTACAGTTTCCGATTGTAATTTTTACAGATTTGGTAAGAATTACACTGTCAAATGTTAATAGTACACGGAAAAAATAAACTTCTTGCGCGAAGAAAATTTTAAGAAAAACAAAAGTTATTTTGGAGCAAGAAGAAATTTTCT